AAGGGGTAAGAAGCTCAGGAACCCTGGATGGCATCTGACCCAATGGTCCAATTAGGGGCCCAGATACTTTCAAATCTTGGGTGGGGGGAGGCTTTTGTTTGTGCTCTTTGTTTGGGAGTTCGTTCGCTCTTGGGACTGAGAGGGACCAGACATCAATCCAGGTTCTCCAACTCTTTCTAAACAAGTCTCTCCTATTTCAAACTTGTAAGTAAATAGCGAGGCAAGGCGTCTTAGTTTTACTTTGTTTTCTCAACTTGTAAATGTACCTTTTACTAGAGTGTTTATCTTTGTTTGCTGTACTTTGAACCTAAGACTAGAGAGGAGTCCTCTGAGCTCTTTAAGTTTGATTACCCTGTAAAGTTATTTTCCATACTGATTTTACAGAGATGATTTTTACCTTTTTCTTTAATTAAAAACCTTCTTTTTAAGAACCTGATTGATTTTTTCCTTGTTTTAGATCCCAGGGGGGTTGGAACTGTATTCACCAGGAGTTGGTGGGAGAAAGAAGGGGGGATGGTTAATTTCTCCTTGTTTTAAGATCCAAGGGGTTTGGATCTGTATTCACCAGGGAATTGGTGAAGGTCTCTCAAGGCTACACAGGGAAGGAAATTAGCCTTGGGATGGTGGCAGCGGACCAGAGCTAAGCTGGTAGTTAAGCTTAGAATTTTTCGTGCAGGCCCCTACATTTGTACCCTAAAGTTCAAAGTGGGGATACAGCCTTGACAAGGACCTAGGGGTTACAGTGGACGAGAAGCTGGATATGAGTCAGTGTGCCCTTGCTGCCAAGAAGGCTAACGGTATTTTGGGCTGTATAAGTAGGGGCATTGCCAGCAGATCAAGGGATGTGATCATTCCCCTCTATTCGACATTGGTGAGGCCTCATCTAGAGTACTGTGTCCAGTTTTGGGCCCCACACTACAAGAAGGATGTGGAAAAATTGGAAAGAGTCCAGCGGAGGGCAACAAAAATGATTAGGGGGCTGGAGCACATAACTTATGAGGAGAGGCTGAGGGAACTGGGATGGTTTATTCTGCAGAAGAGAAGAATGAGGGGGGATTTGATAGCTGCTTTCAACTACCTGAAAGGTTTCAGAGTAGCAGCCGTGTTAGTCCGTATCCGCAAAAAGAAGAACAGGAGTACTTGTGGCACCTTAGAGACTAACAAATTTATTAGAGCATAAGTTTTCGTGGACTACAGCCCACTTCTTCGGATGCTCTAATAAATTTGTGCTCTAATAAATTTGTTAGTCTAAGGTGCCACAAGTACTCCTGTTCTTCTTTTTACCTGAAAGGGGGTTCCAAAGAAGATGGATCTAGACTGTTCTCAGTGGTAGCAGACAGAACAAGGAGTAATGGTCTCAAGTTGCAGTGGGGGAGGTTTAGGTTGGATATTAGGAAAAACTTTTTCACTAGGAGGGTGGTGAAGCACTGGAATGGGTTACCTAGGGAGGCGGTGGAGTCTCCTTCCTTAGAGGTTTTTAAGGTCAGGCTTGACAAATCCCTGGCTGGGATGATTTAGTTGGGAATTGGTCCTGCTTTGAGCAGGGGGTTGGACTAGATGACCTCCTGAGGTCCCTTCCAATCCTGATATTCTATGATTCTATGGTTTTGGCTAGTCACTGAGAAATCTGGGAGATGGTGCTGTTTTCATATGATGTAAAAGAGACAGAGAGCTATACATCTGCTGCTGGCACTTCAATCCCATCTCATGTTGTCTCAATACCTCTTGCAATGGCTTAATACACATGTTGAATAATACGGCGTAGATCAGTGATTCTCAGATCTCGAAAAAGCCACAGTAGCGTGAATGTATTGTTTCATTTACTATCCATCTATCTATATACATTCTCACAGCAAAATAACTGACTAGGTATTATTTTATCAACTTCAATTGGTTAATGACATAGTAAAAGCATCCTGATTGGTTAATAACTTAGACTGGTTAATAATTAAATCATGTGGTGTTTTAATATCCTGTTCTGCAAAGAGCCACAGGAAATACATTAAAGATCCACTTGTATCTCTCAAGCATCAGTTTGAGTTTCGCTGGGATAGAGGATTGAGACTGGAGGGATTCTGCTGCTGAGGTAAAGGAAGGATTTGAACCATTTCAGGACATCTCCTTACACTTCTGCATCCTTTTGGGGGTGGAGTATGTTGTACATGCCAGCAGAATACTGGAATTTGTATTCTGCAATAATCCATCCATTGATGTTATGGAATCTTTCATCCAATATCTCACAGTAGGGTATGTTATCCTTTCAAAGGGCAATGTGGCACTCTCACCAGCTGTTTTTTAATGCTCTAGTGTATTGAGAGACATTCTGTTCCTCTTACACCCATGTCCATTATATAGTACTTTTATAGAATACAATTAATATAAATTGAGATTTTTCAGAAGTGCCTAAAGGAGTTAGGCACCCAATTCTCATTGATTTTTCTTTTTCAGTGGGAGATGTACACCTAACTTGGTCAGGCACTTTATTGAAATCCCACTCCTGGAGTTTGGTGGTTAACTACACAGAAACATTTCTGTAAACTATGATTATTACAAAGTTAAAATGGATTAACTTTATTGTGTTATCCCTGTGACATCTGCGCAGTTGATTCATAACAATAATTATACTTTGTTATGTAGAACTTTACATCTGAAGTGAAGGAAAAGCATCATTATTTCCATTTTCATAGGGTTACATATTAATCTCTGCATTTGTCATAAAGTCTGGAAGAGTTTCAGAAATGTTTTCTCAATTTGTCCATTGAAATGTAAAATAAACAATGAAAGTTCATATATCATAAAGAGCAGGAAAAATAGAGGACCTGGTTGGCTGAGGGCAGTTAGTAATGGGATACATTATGTAGCTTTTTATCGTTAGGGCCAGATTCTGATGTCATTTACTTCAGTGTCAAGGTACAGTAACTGCGTGTGATAACTCTGTCTTTACACTGGAGTAAGTGACCTCATAATTTATCCCCAATGTTGCTTGTTTGAATTCATTGCTGCTCAATATTGTTTCAAAATCATTATCAAATGACATCTCTTTTCTAGCCTATGTGGAACGAGTTGATGACCTCAGTTTATTTCCTTGTAGAGAGGTGCCCTCAACATAACGAGCACTGTTGATCTCAACATAGAGTTCAAGGTTTGAACAGGCACTGAAAGCAAAGTTCTCTTGCCTCTCATGTACTGATCCTACAAGAACAGGATTGAGATACACTGGGACAGGTGATGCCATGTCAATTCAGAGTAAAACTGTTGAAGTTTACTGTACATTTGCATTGGTGTTACTGAGACTGGAATATGTTGATATTAGGGCAGTGCCGGGAACGCATGTATTAACTCTGTCCATATGCTACCTGTTCCAGTGCCTGAGGCTGGGTCTACACTACCCGCCTGAATCGGCGGGTAGAAATCGACCTCTCGGGGATCGATTTATTGCGTCCCGTTGGGACGCGACAATCGATCCCCGAATTGACGCTCTTACTCCACCAGCGGAGGTGGGAGTAAGCGCCGTCGACGGGAAGCCGCAGAGGTCGATTTTGCCGCCGTCCTCACAGCGGGGTAAGTTGGCTGCGATACGTCGAATTCAGCTACGCTATTCACGTAGCTGAATTTGCGTATCTTAAATCGACTCCCCCCTGTAGTGTAGATGTAGCCTTAGGTTATGTCTATGTTTGAGCTGGGAGGTGTGACTCCCAGCTCTCATAGATGTTATGTCTATGTTTGAGCTGGGAGGTGTGACTCCCAGCTCTCATAGATGTTAACCTAAGATAACTAGCTCTCTGCCAGCTGGTGCCTATCAACAGTAGTGCATCCACAGCAGCATGGGCAGTGGCTAGCCACCTGAGAACATAGCTGGGGAGTCGGGTGGGTTTGTACTTGGGGTGGTGAGCTCAAGTGGCCACCTATGCTGCTGCTGACAAACTGCTATTTTTAGGTGCTAGTTCAAGCAGCGCCACCATGGTTACTTCTACATGGGTAGGAATCACCACTCATAGTTCATACCCTAAAGCCTTGATGGCTGCCAATCGGGACCTTTCATGAGCTGGATGCTCACTTAAAAGATGAATAAAAATGAATCTGAATCCTGACTGTGGGTCAGAACCTGCGTGGCCTTTACATGTATGTCTTCACCCTGTCCCTCATGAGGCTCTCTTGAGTGCCAGACAGAACTACAGCCTGTATGCAGAAGGGCATGGGGGCTTGTAGGCCTCACCCTGGTACAAAGGGGGTTAAATCACCTTGTTTGGCACAGCTAACCCCACCCTCTTTGCAGGAAGTTCCAGAAGTATAAAAGCAGAGAGCCCTACAACTCAGTTGGGGTTGGACCAAGGAAAGGGGCAGACATTCCTACCACATAGCTAAGCCACCAACAGAGCCCATGGCTGGATTCAGGAGAAGGTAGGCAGTCTCTGTATGTATAGAATATCTCCCAGTACATGCAGCATGGCATATATGAGCTGGGTCTCAATGGCACATGATACCTACAAGCTCTTAGCTGGTGCAATATGTGGATAATACATTATTTTTGCTTGCACATTATCAACTTATTCACTTTAAGTCATTATGTTGCAATGAATCATCGTGACATGATTTTTCTGTTTTAAATGCAGTCAGAATGATATTTTCCAGATAGAGTCTAGTTTATATTTCTTATGTGTGTGATGGGAACTGCACTTGATGTTTACTGACTTCCCAAAAACAAAAAACCCCTCACAACCACAATTATCCAGACTGTTATTCCACACAAGTCAAATACCTCTGTACTAAATATGGGTCTCAGCAAGAATGCAAGTGAGGGAAGGATGATCTGCAGGCACTGCTCCCTGGAGGAAGACTATGTATTTGCTACACGGTCTAAGCTTTCTTTCCCATGAGCTGCAAATCCATGTTAATAGGAGAATTCACAACCAGGAGTAAAAATTGGGCCAAATGGCCCAAAAATACCTTGTGCAGGCAGCAAATTGTCAGTTCCTAAAGAGAATGTGTACTTTAATTTGCAACATTAATTATTATTATTATTTTATTTATTTATTATTTGCATTATGATAGCACTCAGAGGCCCAACTGAGTTCAAGACCCCACTGTGCTAGGTTCTGTACAAATACAAAAAAATTAGAGTCTATTTAGACTAATCAGAAAAAGGACAGGAAACAGGCACAGAAAAGTGACAGTAGGATGCTAAATACGTGCCATTGTTACTGTAAGAACTGGGGGGGAAGAGAAACAACTGTTGAAAGAAGGCTGCTTTGTGAGGTTTCAAGAGCTTGCCTGAGCTGGATGAGGTAATCCTGCAATATTTATGGATCCAGCCTGCTTCCCACTCTGCCTCTGGATTTTAATGGAGAAACCTCAGAGTGGTGTCAGGGGCAAAATAGCAACACAAACATCTCAGAAATAGAAAAAGGATAATTAAAAATATGCCAGCAAACAGGCCTGGTGTGTATTTTGTAATGTGGACCCCATAAAAGAAAGTGCTTTATGTTGTACTGGGGTGTAGCTGGAACTCTTGGGTTCTCTTTCCAAACTTCAGTGAGGTGCCTTGAGGGCAGTAGATTCTCTTCCTAGGGGTGGTTTAAAAATATTATTAAATGGCATTCTTCCAGGAGATGCAAATAAAACAGCAGTAAACTATGAAAAGAGGCTATTATGCAAGGGTGTTACATTTAAAGAAACTGGCTGTGGCTAGAGTCATAAATTAAGACTCCGAACGTTCCAGAAAAAGAATACCAATTAAAAGGGCAACAGAACATATGGAAACCTCCTAACTCTGGATTGACAGTACGTAACTTCCACGCCATATCAGACACTACCAGCTTGACTGCCACTCAGGTTGAACTGATGCTCTTGTACTGAGTATCTCCAGGTACTCAACAACAAACTACATTTGTTTGTATCTATCTTATGCATCACCACCATGGTATTTGAGCATCTTTGAAAACCTCTGAACAAAGGGATGCGCCAAATATTATGGCTTGAGCTCATTTTGTATCTGTAATATATGGAGAAGGAAAAAGAAATAGACTGAAAATCATAAGGTGGTGTAGGTACATTCTTGGGAGTAGTATGGGATGTCAGAACTAGAGCGGAAGTATGCTTGTAACCTGGCTAATCTGTTAGGAGGAGTAGACTGCAGTGAGCATAGAAAAGTGTTTTAAACCTTAGCCCTGCTACAATGATAGGCTTTTGTCTGAGCAAGATTGATCTAAACTACTGTAGATTTCTCTGTTGAAACTTTTACTCAACTGGGAATTTCCAAAGCAATAGCAGAAGAAAGCAAAGGTCCTTGACTGCTTCAAAGGAAGTAGTGAGGGAAAGCACACGTGGAGACTGTTGGTTTGTTTTGATTTTCTTTCTTGTTTCTTGGGATATTATGGTAATGGGGCACTGCAGAAAAGGATATGGGTGTTATAGTGGATCACAAACTAAATATGAGTCAGCAATATAATGCCGTTTCAAAAAAAGCGATGTATTAGCAGGAGTGTTATAAGCAAGACACAAGAAGTAAGTCTTTCACTCTACCCAGCACTGATAAGGCCTCAATTTGGTGTCCTTTTCTTGGCACCACATGTCGGGAAAGATGTGGACAAATTGGAAAAAGGCAAGTGAAAAGCAACAAAAATAACTGAAGAAAAACATGACCTATGAGGAAAGATTGAAAAAATTGGATTTGTTTAGTCTGGAGAACAGAAGACTGAGGGGAGATGCGATAACAGTCTTCAAGTATGTAAAAGGTTGTTTTAAAGAGGAGGGTGATAAATTGTTCTCCTTATCCACTTAGAACAAAACAAGAAGTAATGGGTTTAAATTGCAGTAAGGGAGATTTAGTCTACACATTAGGAAAATATTCCTAACTGTAAGGGTAGTTAAGCACTAGAACAAATTACCTAGAGAGATTGTCTAACTTGCTTTTAAAATCTTCCAATGATGGAAATTCCACAAACATCTGTCAGGGATGGTGTAGACAATACTTAGTCCTGTCCGCGCAGGAGACTGGACTAGATGACCTATTGAGTTCCCTTCCAGTCCTACACTTCTATGATTCTATTTGGAAGGGTATAAATAATGGTGTAAATTGATACATTTTGGATATACAGTCTAAAGAAGTGGAAGTGGTCAGTTGGACAGGGATGTACTAACTGCCATGAACTAGACCAAGGATTGTCAACCTTTGGCACGTAGCCCGTCAGGGAAATCCGCTGGCGGGCCAGGACAGTTTGTTTACCTATAACGTCCAAAGGTTTGGCTGATCACAGCTTCCCCTGGCTGTGGTTCGCCATTCCAGGCCAACGAGGGCTGCAGGAAGTGGCGTGGGCCAAGGGATGTGCTGGCCACCTCATGCCAAAGGTTGCCGATCCCTGAAATAGACCCTTTGGGATTTTCATCGGGCTGCTATAATTTAACCTGGGAGTAGATCTGGAGGACCCTGGATGAAGCGGGCAGAGAAGGGAATTTTTGTGATTCTCCCTCACTCGGTTCCGCTATGCTGAGCCTTGTCTTAAAATTGTTCCAAAAGGTCAAGTAGCTGCAAAAATAATCCCTGAATGGATCCAAAGAGCTTTCCTAAAAATGAATAGAAATTAGCTGAAATGAGAAGAGGAAAATAGGTGTATCTGGTTGACGTATCCCTTTTTCTCTATAAAAGTGACCTATCACTAACAGGCCTGTAAAATCCATGCTAGAGCTATATAATTAAAGATGTAGGTACTTCAATACCAGGGAAGTGAGAAAAGTAGCAGACTCATGAAGTCCACTAGGGAGGGACATTGCCCTGCAGATGTAATTTACCTGGGAAGTACTTAAATACTACATGGGTGGGGACTATAGAAAACCCTAAGATAGAATTTATGTAACAAGACGTAACCAAATGAGTTAATTATGAACTTTAAACAGGCCACAGTGTCCTCCCTTTCTTTGCACACTGAAAACATCCACTCCATGTGAAGCAGCAGTCAAAAAAGCTAACAGTGTTAGGAACCATTAGAAAAGGGATAAATAAGACAGAACATATCATAATACATCCATATAAATCCATGAAATGCCCATATCTTGAATACTAAGTGCAGATCTAGTTGCCCATCTCAAAATATATATATATCATTTTTGTTGCCCTTCTCTGTATCTTTTCCAATTCCAATATATATATATTGAATATATTGATATATATATTGGAATTGGAAAAGATACAGAGAAGGGCAACAAAAATGATTAGTGGTATAGAACAGCTTCCTTATGAGAAGAGTTTACAAAATCTGTGACTTTGGAAAAGAGGGGATATGCTAAAGGTCTATAAAATATTGACTTGTGTGGAGAAAGTGAATAAGAAAGTGTTATTTACTCCTTCATGTAACACACTCCTTCATGTAACTAGGGGGCACACTGAAATGAATAGGCAGCTGGTTTAAAACAAACAAAAGGAAGTATTTCTTCATACAACGCACAGTCAACCTGTGGAGCTCTTTGCCAGATGATGTTGTGAAGGCCAAAACTATAAGAGAGTTTAAAAAAAAAAACTAGGCCTAGTCTTCACTTACCGGCTGGTCCGGAGGCACGCAATCGATGTTCTGTGATCGATTTATCGCGTCTGGTTAAGACGCGATAAATCGATCCCGGATCGATCCCGGAAGTGCCCACAATCGGTGCTGGTACTCCAGCTCTCCGAGAGGAGTACGCAGCGTCGACGGGGGGAGACTTCTGGCCGCGTCTGGACCCCGGTAAGTCCGGACTAAGGTACTTCGAATTCAGCTACGTTATTAACGTAGCTGAATTTGCGTACCTTAGTCCGAAGTCCGGACTAAGTGGGGACCAGCCCATAGATAAGTTCATGGAGGATAGGTTTAGGGTAGCTTGCATTTCATATAGTGGATCTAAAAGTATTTTCCTTCTAAACAAGGGAGTAGGTACTAAACGTCTCTGAATGCACACACAACTCCTCTATGGAGTGGAAAATATCACCTTGCATTCCTCAGCCATCCCACCTGCCCATTGACTCCAATGAGTTTTGGATCAGGCCCTGAATGCACTGATTACAGCTACTTGGTTATATCACATCTAGTTTCTATTTGTGTTTTAATCCAACCCTGCTAACTCCTCTCTCTGTCCTTCAAACACTGATCTTTTCAAGTCAAAGCAAACATTTTTTTTAAAGTCATAGTTGTGCCAAGTGGATGAGTTCTGACTTCTTGGACTTTCAGGAAAAAAAAAACACCAATAACCTGGATTCATAATTTCACAATATCGGTTAAAAGCAAACAAACAAGGTTTTACTTTGCTAACCCATATTCTCACCCTTCCTGCTTCCTGTGTTGCAAAATCTACCTAATTAACCTCCTCCCAAAAAACCCCAAACCCTTAAAAACAAAACAAACATTTCCAGATCTGTTCTCCTGAGGTAGAGTCCG